CCCCAAAACCCCAAAACCCCAAAACCCCAAAACCCCATCATTCAGAGAAAATATCGAAGGGTTTATATATTTTATTCAAACGATGAAGGGTTGCCTGATTCTTTTGATTGTCTCTACAATGCTTGGCATCACGATAGGAGCACCCAACTGGGGGAAGCAAGTGTATAAGCAACAAGAATTTTGTTTCAAGGATCCCAAACATTTTGAGAACAGGATATTTGATGTCTCAAAGTCCAACAACACACTACTCAAAAGCTTTTCCAAGGATGATGCAAAACTCCTTCTGGAGTACTTTAACAGCCTCAGCTACTTTGGAGAATCAGCCATGATGTCTCAATATAATTCTGAAGAAGAAGTAGGAGATTTAGAGATAACCAAAATTGATGTAGTTGTAAGTCCTTTATCCTGAAATCCTTCCTTATTCAACAGGGATGATTAGATCCTTCCTCATTTCAAAATTTCTTACGTGCTATTAAATTATTTAGAAAAAGATTAATCTCTTCAGGATTTTGTGAGGAAAATTACATAAAGTGTTCTCTAAGAACACTAGTTTAGCTATAAATCAGTTCTTTGAAGTATGAGACAAATGAGATGTTGCTTCTATAAACTTTGAGATAATGTTTTAAGTGAGCTGTAGCCCTCTCAAAATATCTAAGATTATATTTTACAGCATTATACAACTAAATAAGTCCTGAAGTTCGTTGATTGCTTCTAATTACCAAATTTAGACGCTATTAGAGAATACAACTCTTCCTGACACTCTCTTCATTGGCTTTGGTAAATATGAAGAAGGTGAGAAGGTTTCCAAAAACAGTCTTCTAGCTCTCAAGGTTGTCATTGCAATTGAAAAGGTAATTTATAGATTGACTTTTAGGATTCAAAATCTCCTCCTTTTAACCTGGAGTCATTCTGGTACAAAGGACTTAAGATAAAGGCATTGGATTCCCTCTGCTACTACTGTTCAAATGAAATTGAAGAGCCAAGCCCATGCAGACTGGATATGACTCTGAAGAGTTCTGGCAACAGATATGAGATTAATTCCAGAACTCGAGTTCATTCTAAGAAAATTATGTCTGAATTAAGAGAGACTTTCAAAGCAAACCTCAAAGGAGGAAGCGCATACGAAACTAATTACTTTGTTCACCTACTATTAATCGTCCTAAGTCTTATCCCTGCAGCAGGATCTTTAGCCCATTATACCTTTGAAGATGATGAGGAGCTCAAATTTTATAAAGGAACACCAGCTCAACGAGGGCTCTTTTTGATCACAAGAATTCTTTTATATTACTACAGTTTGTTCACAGTTAACATAATGTGGTTGAATACTCCGGAGAAGAAGATGTTGGATGGGCTATTGCTTGCAGCAATCCTTCTCATTTGTATTGCTGCCTACTTAATCTGTTCTTTTGTCGTCATGACTCATATAATACTGGACTTTAATTCATTTGAAAAGGGTTGATGCGAGATGGATACAGAAAAGATGGCCTTCGGTCCAATAGCAGTTATCTGTTTGCAGATCGCGTTGTACATCTTGCTTACAATTAGTGGGTACTACAAATGCTTTATGTTTGACAAGGAAAATCTTATACTTTTATTCAAAATCATGATGTTGTTACTGCCAATAAGTTTTATCTCTAACTGTGTTAGCAAGGCCAAACTCCATGACAAATTTCTTCATCTTGCTGTTGTATTTTATATCACAGTATTCCAGTTTACTCCTTACGGAACTTTGGACTCATTTGGAGATGACTTTTGGTTTATAATGCTGTTCTTTGTCTCCCAGGTTGTCTTCCTTTGTCTCATACAACTCCAAAAGAAGTTTGATTGGACATTTACTTTTCCTGACAAGTTAAAATGCAGAAACTATAACAAATTCAAACACAAGGTCCAAGTCACAATGAGTGAAGAAGATATCGCTGAAACATGAAGCCTCTGTATGAACAAACTTACTGAGCCTGAAGTTGAGTACCAAGATGGCAAAAAGAGCTTCAGCTTTGGAAGAATAAATGACCAAACCACCTTCTACCAACTCGACTGTAACCACAAATTTCATCCAAACTGCGTCCTTAAACCTCTCAAAGAGCTCCAAAGATGTCCTCACTGCAAAAAAGTGTCGAAATAAAAGATTGCTGGTCATAAACCATCTCCTCAACACCTTTCTCCCCTCCCGGGGTTTTGGGGTTTTGGGGTTTTGGGGTTTTGGGGTTTTGGGG